AGTGCAGATGTCTTAACTACTCGACCACCTAGCTTGCCGGGGTCGGCTGGCCAGTCAGAGTCAAATGAAGCAGCCGGTACCGCGAACTATATTTCGCAAAAAAAATGCAAAAAATACATCTTGAAAATAGTTCACGGTACCCACTACGTGATACACGTTGAGTAAGGGCAAACCCGTTATATAAAAATGTTCAAATTACATGTACTTTGACAATTCAAAGAATAAGCCTAAGTGCTGTTAGTGTTACATTGGCACACACCAGGAATCACCCTTTTAATAAATGTATGTGGCAAGTCTTGGTCACCATAGATTTCAAAAGCCGCCAGCTAGCTGCATAGAACGAATGAAAATTGTGGGTACATGTACGAGACTCTCTCTTGTTTTCCTTCTCTTCTAGCTTCTACGTATGGTTGATGCACCTAAAAAGAAAATTACATGCACAGACAACACTTGTAAAAACCTAGTAGTGGGGATGACTTGACCCTGGGACGATTTGACTTTGGAACGATTTGACCCGGGGATGACTTGACCCGAGTATGACTTGACCAGGGTTTCAATTTTGGGGGACGACTTGACTCTGGGAGGACTTGCCCCAAGGATGACTTGACGTTTCCTTAGTATCTGCATGGATTCCTTCCTCCATGGTATCTGCATGTTCTGGGGGGTACTAATTCGCCCCACACACCTCCATGCACAGGGGAGGCGATGAACAACCAAATAACAGACTAGACGGATGTTCACGACCAACTTAACCTTCCCCAACCAAAATAAAATGTCCAATACTTACCACTTCTACATGTGCATGTATTACTAGTAGCGTCAACATGGTCAACAAGCGCACGCGTCAACGTGGTCAACGCCCTCTAGGCCTATGACCTACACGTAAGTAGGCTATTACTAAAGTAGCGTCAGCCAAAATCTTGAAAATATCCCCTAAAGCTTTCAAAGTGGTTTTATCTGTGTCTTATCGTTCTTGTAGGTTGTACTGTCCTAACCAAACTAGACTGAAGTCTGAGGTTGCACTTCACCAAAACAGTGCAAAATCCACACACATACATGTAATTTATTTATGTCTATTAATATTATGGCAATATCAAACGGAAATAGCGCCCTCTGTTGACTCTCGTGAAGCAGCGTAAGATCGCGCAAGGCACGAGAGGACGCAATAGAAATCGGCGCGCGCGGCGTTGCACCATATAATAGAAAACATGCAAACTCAGACCGAAATAGTACCGCCTGTTGACTCTCGTGAAGAGGTTGGCAGCTGTTTTTTCACTGCAAATTCAAGATTATGGCCTGAAGATCACTTTTCGTTTCGATTTCATTGGGTTAGCCACCCAAAACAAATTTTTATTCGCCTTTCAAGGAAGATACCCCCAAAACAGCAGTAAAACTAAGTGCTCAGTTCTGAATGTAGCCGCCCGCCTCTATCCAAAATAGGCCCGCAATTTGGGGCTTTTTGTGAGAGAAATACCCCCAAACTGGAAACTATCAGTCCCAAGTTCGGGATTTATAGGGAAAAAAATCTATGATGTGGTCGAGTTGGAAATCAAAGATGGCTGTTCCCGCGCTTGTCTGGGCCAACGCGTGGTTTTATTCCTAAGGCTAATTACCAGCAAGGCCCGGGTTTCGTCGACGCAAATCACCAAATAGCAACCAAAATCCACCACAAACGGTCACAGAAACCCAACTTCCGCAGACCACACAGATACAAACAAGCAGATACAAGAGGATAGTCACTGTGCGCAGACAAGTTCAAAACAAGTTAAAAACACACACAAGATATGCAACTTGAGACGAGAGCACGACAACACATACGTCCCCAACGCGCACAAATCACCAAATAAATTGTAATAAAATGTATGTTGTTTAAATGAGATACTAAGTCGTTTAAACGAGAACAAAATACACGTATGTTGTTTAAACAAGATAACTATGTCATGTAAAAAAAGATCCTTTGAACGAGATAACTCGAACGAGATGAAATAAATTTTCGCGCGTTGGCAGCAACACGTTGCCGTAAGAACCCAGCCTTCACGTGGGAAATTTATGCCTTATCGAAAGAGGACTGTTGGTATTTATACCGTTGAATCAAAGCTGAGTTGCGACCTATTAGGGCCTATGCGTCAGTGCAAATGGACAATTAGCACACAGTAGCTGCATATTGCACTGCACGCAACAGCCGATTCGGTTCCAAAGTCTGCAGTCGGTGCTTCTCTCTCTATAAACAGCTGTGGATTGAATGTTAAATGTACCCAAAAATGGCCAAATTAACTGCGATCACAATGCTCGCCCACATCGACAAGGATCGATGCACCACACTAAATATGCGCTAAAAGAAAACAGCAAAATCGGACAGAAATAGCGCAACCTGGTGACCCTCAGAAGCAGGGTCGTCTCACGTGTTTCACTGGAAATTCAGCTTTAGACAATGGCCACAACAAGATAAGTTTTCTTTTCAATTTCATAACGGTAGCCACATTTTCAGGCTACCACGATCCCCCAAATTACCCTCCAAATAGTAGTAGAACTCTGCTCTCCGGTACGTCTGAATGTAGGCTCCTGCGCCTCCAAAATAGGACCACAAGTTGAAGGTCGAAGCCTCAAATCTCAAATTTGCAATTTATAGAAAACCTTTACGATTGATTCAATATTGGTACCTCTTATGGCAAGTAACCCGTGTAATCACGAATATTAATGAGGTCGTGCGCAGAAATCTAGCCATTTAGTGGTATGCACCTATAATGGTCGTGTATATTTTCTACGGAGCTCCCTGGGTGCCATTAACTATTTAGATAACAAGATCACGTCGTGCTGGCATATCATGGGTAGCACGACAACTTATGGACACGACCTATTTTGCCATGTCCACTTTGCAACAGTAAAATTGGCGTCTTGTTATGATGAATCAAATCGTCAAGCCGATTTCCTGAAGTCAAAATTACAGCTCGGCTGTAAATGACGACTTATTTATTAAGACTTGTCAAATGGTCATGTCGGCTATGGTAACTCGACTGAACGACATCATGCCCCTGGTGAAGTCGTCATCTAAATTTTAAGGAGACTTGGCAGGATAGTTCATATAAACACCTTGCTTTCAGCATTACAATAGCATGAGGTGAAAAATTGTTTAGTGTCTAACGACGTGGATGGCATTCAAGGAACATGGTAGTTTCCAGGTTTGGCACATAATTAGAGTCACTGCGAGCCAGACTCTCCGCGGGCAAAAAATGCATAATTATAACGACGTTCGTTATTCAGCCGTCAATATGCTGGTTCACAGGACGTGTGTGGGTGATTCCCTGACAAATTTGCCTTCATGTACCGGTACAAAAGCCCTTGAAGATTTTATTTTGTGCGCCGGTGTTGCGCTCTGAAACAGCATGTTTACTTATGGTCTTAAAACTCACCGATCCGTGCTGTGTGTTGTATTGGGACGGAGGCTATTAATGTGCAGTACACGACTCTGAAGACATTGCCACGACAAGCAAGGAGGTAAGATGAAGGTCCGTATGTTAATGCGCAACGTGCAGACAAGTGTTCAGCTCGACTGAAGAGTTTGTAACCATTGAATGCACAATTTAGACTTCCTGTTTCTGCACATCAGTGTTTTGAAAGAAAAGCTTACCGACTTTACACATCTTTGGGATGCATTTCTTGCCTAGAAATTTCTGTGAAAGATATGCAGAGGTCAGAAGTTTAGGTGAAGATGATGGATAGTCTCAAATACAATGACGAAAGAGCATGTTGTGTCCGTCCGGAAACGACCACGGCAATACGACTGTAAAATGTACGTACCGCCGAAACAATAATGTACCGCGTACATAATTAAAAGGAAATGGTTACAGTACGATACATGTAACATGTTGGTAGTGATCAATATTGGCATATTCTCAGCTCCTCTGTTTGACTTTTAGCGGAAAGTGTCGAAGCAACATCACCAGATAGATTTTTCCCAATCGTTTTATAAATGTCTTCATTAAATATTTTTTTCTGTAAGGGAGGTTTGCTTTAAATTTGCTGGTACTAAAAACTCTAAAGGAAAGGTCGCCGTCTGTGCAGTAAATTTTCAAGGAGAGACCACTCTTCATGAGTAAATTTAACTTTTTTACATTTTATTGACGGGAACGGTTGAGTTTTACTCTTGTCTAATTATAACAGAAAGTTCCAATGAGGTAAGTTTAAGTACTCAGCCAACCGGGCGAGTTGATTAGGTGAGCGGTATGGGTTGGATTGGGTCTTCCTTATGAAAATGAGCCTGTATAGTCGCCAACTATGCAGGTAATTCATGAGTGCAATATTGAGTGAAGAAATCGTTACTTAGGCTACTGAGTACACTGCGTAGATGATGGCAATCCTTTGACAAACGGATTGGGGCCTCGAGGCGTTTGCTGTGAAGGCATATGTGAATCATGGTCCATTCGTTTGGGCGCTGTGTGCATGTAACAAAACCTTTACAATCACTTCTTTATTTCCTTTGACGTGGAGAACAACATTCAACACACGCTGAGATGTCTGACTTAACTCTGCATGGGGATTTAAAAAAATGTTATTTTTCCTTTTTGGTTTGGAATTCAATAGAGTTTACCTTGTTGGGTTACTATAGATTGATTAAGCCACGTAAGAAGTACACAATACAAGCACTGAAAAATACATTCACACAGCCGCCGATACACACTGAATGTCCAACGAACCGGAGTAAGCCAATATTAAACTGAGTTTGTTTTTCCCACTTGACAGAACACACACTGAACTGCCTAGCAAGGACACAACGAAATTAAAATAAAAAATCTGCGCCAGGAGAGTTGTGAGGCAACGGCAAGTTTTTTTGCGTACTCCAGTGCCAAATAGTAAGATGGCGAACAATTGCATCGAAAAAGTCATCAAGTCATTCTTCTACTATTACGGGGGTTTCATCGCCCGACACCCGTATCCCTTTCTTGTCCTTCCGCTACTGTTGACCGGCGCACTGGGTGCCGGGATGATGTTCCTGGCGGAGGAAAACGACATAGAGAATCTGTACACTCCGGAAAATGGGCAAGCGAAGACGGACAGGAACACAGTGGAAACACTGTTCGCCGAACACGGTGACAACGACACGTTGGTGTCACATCTGTCGAGACTGCCTCGGGAAGGGAGTGTGACCATACGGCAGAAGGATGGCCAGAATATCCTGACACAAGCTGCCATGGAGGACATCTTCAATCTACACGAGCAGATCATGAACATTACCATCCAACACGACAAGCAGGAATACAAATTCACCGATCTCTGCATCAAATGGGACGGCGTTTGTAACGAGAACCCCATACTAGCCGTATATGATTACAACTCCTCCAATGTGCCGTTAATCTCTCTCAAGTTTCCCCTCTACACACCAGCCGGCAAAACCGTTTCTTATTTTCTTGGCGGAGGACTAGGACGAGTAACATTCAAATCAGGCTCTCAAGATGAGGTACTCTCTGCCGATGTAATTATGTTGTCCTACTTCTTACGGTTCAAAGACAGCACCGAGGACCAGCGAAGCGCCCTATGGGAGGAAAAGTTTTTAGAAGTCATGGAGGCATTCACCTCTTCCGTCGTCAGCGTTACTCGGGAGGTGTCCACCTCCATCGAGACGGAGCTTGACAACGCCAGCTCCGGAGTGGTGAAGGACTTCGCCGTAACATTCACTATCCTGATTGCTTTCAGCGTCTGTTCCTGCGTGATGATGGACTGGGTGCGAAGCAAGCCCTTACTGGCCAACTTTGGGGTGGTATCCGCCGGCCTGGCTGTGCTGTCAACGTTTGGTCTCATGAGCTATGTCGGCATTCCTTACATCAATGTTGTCGGCTCCTCACCATTTCTCATCCTCGGTGAGTACTTTTTGTGACAAGACAAAAGTGGCAAGAACTGTGCAAATATGTGAACAGTTCTCCCAAGAGTTTGAAGAATGAATTATTTTTGTGAGAGATAAATTCACCTAAATGACAATTTGCAGCGGTAAAAATTTAGCATTTGCTGAATCGGTCCAGTTCCTGCTTTCTTAAGTTCTTTCCCACTACTAGTCCCTGCATCTTCGGTTCTCTTTTGTTGTCTTTTTCTGTTTCGGATAATCATCCATTCAATTGTGTGCAACCGTTTTTGTATGCGATTAAGCATGAGTAACAACAATGCTAAAGATTTGTGATAGTTAACGCAGAAGCAAAAATGAATGCACTGTTTATTTTGATAGCCCTCGTGAGGAATACAAATACAACCACTGCTACATGTATGATGATTATGCAGAACTACGATATGTTGTCATTTCTTTTCATTTTTATCTACAGGTATTGGACTAGATGACATGTTCATCATGTTGGCTGCCTGGCGACAGACTGATACCCGATGGCCAGTGGAAAAACGCATGCGCCATGCCTTCTCTGAAGCTGCCATGTCTATAACCATCACGTCCATTACAGACGCTCTGGCCTTTGGAATTGGCGCCATCACGTTCTTCAGATCCGTCCGCATATTCTGCATGTACACGGGCATAGCTGTCATCTTTGACTACGCTTATCAGATCACTTTCTTTGGCGCCTGCATGGTGCTGACCGGCCAACGCGAGGCAGCTAACCGGCATTGTATGTCGTGTATCAAAGTCAAACCCAAAAGTGAATCAAAATCCACAGCCTACACTGTATTCTGCGCTGGTGGTTCCTCCCAGCAAGCTTCTGACAGGGACGAAGGTGATACCAATGACCATGCCCTCATGCTTTTCTTCAAGAATTACTACGGTCCCTTCATCACACATTGGTGGATGGTGATCCTGACAGTAGTGCTGTTTCTAGCCTATCTGGGCGGCGCCATCTACGGATGCATCCATGTCCGCGAAGGGCTCAACCTTCGTAACCTCGCTCGGGATAGCTCCTACGTAGCCGCTCATTTAGAAGCTGAAAACACCTATTTTACGGAGTACGGCCCACCTATCGCATTAGTGTTCACGGAGCCAAGAGACTTTTGGAATCCGCTCATACAAGACTTCATGGAGGAGACTTTAACAAAGATTGAGGCAAGCGAGTACACGTTCGGAAAAGATCAGAACCTGACCGTGTCCTGGCTGCGAGACTATCTAAACTTCCTAGACTCCATCCACCTCAGTAACCCCACCAGGTCCCAATTCATGGACGTCCTACGCAATACGTTCCTGCAAATCCCAGCGTTCCGACGGTACGCGCTGGATATAGCCTTCAGTGACGACAACCAGACCATTCTGGCGTCGCGCTTCTTTGTTGCTTCAAAAGACCTGGACTCTGAGGACAGGAAGAGGTACATGATGACCGATCTGAGGCGCATAGCGGAAGAGGCTGAACTACCAGCCATTGTTTATCACCCGCTCTTCATCTTTTACGATCAGTACCTGCAAATCCTGCCCAATACGTTCCAGAATATAGGCATCGCAGTAGGGGCCATGCTCATCGTAGCTGTGCTGATGATACCCCATCCAGTCTGCTCCCTCTTGGTCACTCTTTCTATTGCCTCAATTGTCACAGGGGTGATTGGACTCATGACTTTGTGGCAGGTCAACCTCGATTCTATCGCCATGACTAACATTATCATCTGCATAGGTTTCAGTGTGGACTACTCCGCTCATGTCAGCTACGCTTACACGTCAGCCGACACTAGCTCCCGCCGCGAGAGCGTCATCCGTGCACTATACTCTCTGGGCATGCCCATCGTGCAGGGGTCTGTCTCCACCATACTCGGCGTGCTGGTTCTTATCTTCACAGACTCCTACATCTTCCGCACCTTCTTCAAGACCATGTTCCTGGTGATCTCCCTGGGGGCGCTGCATGGGCTGCTCTTCATCCCCGTGGGCTTGTTTCTTACAGTCCCCTCCAAAACTCGTAAGAAGGCTTCCTGCAAGCGCAGGAATCGGCCAGATTGCCCTGCCACCGACCGACCCAGAGAAAGCCAAACCAGAAGAACCGTCACTGGACCTTTGTATTTAGGGAACAGGCATCCCACCCGTTACCAGCGAGGATCCGACCCGTTTAGCATAAGTAAGAAAATGAACAGTTTCCAACCCTCGCTCGCGAACGACAGGCATCAATCACGGCCATATCAGGAGAGTTGTTTAGGTTTGGAAAAAGCTTGACTGTAATCAAAGGAATTCTGTGATCGTGATAATGAACAGGTTTGCTTACAATACCCGGAATAGATCTTTCCCATGAAATATGCAAATACAGCAGGCGCATGCGCGCTACTACAACTGCTTGACAAAGTTGCTTAAAGTGTAGCTGCAATGAATTTTTCCTCGACACAACTTTTCTGCATCTATGTACTTTTCTTCAGTGTATGAAAACTCTTCCACGCTTCTATTTGGTTACATGCATAGAAAAGTGCACACTTTTAAACAATTAAATTATCCATATTTTTCCAAACAACTGAGGGTACTGTTGCTGTGAAGTCATCTAGAGAAGACATGGTTCAGTACATAGTTATTTCGGTTCAAATTGTGAACCCACAATTTACTAATTAAAAGCATTTCTGAGGAGAGAGAGATCGATGGTTTCTTATTGCTGTGCACATAAAAAACAATGAATCAGCAAAGAAGAGATAACCTAGTCCAAGAAAATCTACAAAAACAAAGAACTTTTTGTGTGTACAACCCAATGTAACATTGAGGCTTCTTCCTGAGGTGACATCACAGTTTTGCTCATGAATATGGAAATATTCATTAGCATAAAACCCCTGAGCATTAAAATACCCTTTGAAATAATGAAAATTGGAAATAAGGTTTGCTGAGGCACAAAGTTTTCGTTTTACAGGTTTTCAATCAAGCACACTGATTGCAGCTACCCTTTAAACCAATGACGTAACTCTGTACTAGTATGATTTGACACGAGTACAAGACAACAAATTGTCACTTTCTAACCTCAAGACATGGCCGAATTCATTTAGTTTCGAGAAACGTGTGCTGAATTATCAGAAAAGGGATATACTACAGTCTTGATTAACCTTCAACGCACGAGGTTTAATGGTTAGCAGTTCTGTACACCGTGCCCACAGTCTTGACGGCTGCGTTTAGCATGCATGCATGCACCTCTCTAATCTGCACATTTAATGGAAAAGGCCCTTTTTTGCTCTTCAGCTAAAAGAGGGAGTCTTTTTCGCTCGCATGCATTTATTTATTTACTTGGAGTTTAATGAGCCGCACATATTACCCTAGCGTGGGTTATAAATTTTCATGTTGAAAAGAGCACGTAGATTCTCATATTGTTTTAAAAAGGTCAGTTTTGACCAAGTGTGTCCTAAATTGGCGTAAATGTATCTACTTCCCAACTTCTGGTCACAAGGTGTTCAACCGTTGGGTAAATCTGTTGGACAATGACCAACTGTTAGGAAATGTCTGGACAGTTTAGTTTTACCCAACGTCTTTTGCCCTACGTTTTAAGTATCTGTGTGTGTGGGTTATATTATATGTACATATAGTTTGTTAATTTCAAAATTACAGTGTAAGTGGCAATATAACCCAGCTTGATTACTTTGCAAATACATGAAACTGCATGCAGTGAGGAAAATATCACAATACCGTTTGCTAGACTTCTGGCATAATGGCTCTTTGAGGGTCTCTTTGTTGGCAAACAGACAACCTTTCAAATCAAGTTCATTGCCCCCGTGAGGGACTCGAAAGAAGTTTAGGTATACATTTCCGAATGACCTTTCAGCATACGTCTGGGCTGTGGATTGAAACCTGTGTCTTTCATTCGATGCACAAAAGCTCCCATTATGAGGTATGAGGAAGTAGCATGAGGAAACTTTGCAGGAACATCTGCAACACCACCTCCGATCTAATTGCGTCAGCAGGGGGTCCCGTTTCGCAGTGCCACTGACTTCTCTCAATTGTTCACCCCGGTGAAAAGAAATCTTTGTTCCCAGGGTAATTGCCACTGCAGACCAGCTGAGCTCAGGTCGGCAGCACTTCATGAAGATGGGCAATCTGCGATTTTACACTGAGGAAATTATTTTAAAAATAATGTATTTCTCATTCAGTGTGTGTATGTTGATGTTTTGTGTACATGTGTAACTTTTGTTCCCAGTTTCCTGCACTTCTCACAGCCCGCCACAAAGTCAACAAACACGATCGGCACAAAGATAATCTTTAATCTTTGTAAAGAATTAACAAAGATTTGCTTGCCATTGTATTTCAGATGCCACTGAAATTGTTACCCTTTTTTGGCATAAATTATGTAACATGGACAGTCTTGTTCAAGAACTGATAACCCTTTACACTTGTCTAATATTAAGCACATGATAGTTTTAGTGGCTCTAGTAGCCGACTTTCTTGACGTACATGGCGGCAATCTGAGATGTCGGTTCTTGGTATTTTCATATTCTGTCTGTTTGTGGTATACCAAAAAGGTATATGTTGTAAGCTTTGTTGGGGTCTGTATGATTAATGTTGACAAAATTTGATGAAATATAATGTTTTTCGAAAGACTTGTTGAATAATTATGTCTTAGTCTACACAGTAGAATTAAGTAGTGGCAAGCAAAATACACAGTTTTGTTTATTTAAATAAAAAGTACAAAGCTTTCAATTTGGCGCTTTGTCTACACTTCAAGTCTTAAGCTTGTTTTTAGATTAATTTCTTGACGACATTTTCCTCCGTAATGTTTGACCCCAGACCGTATCCCCCCAAACGACACTGTAATCTACGTGGTGTCAATTCAAAAGCCATTAATGGCAAAGGGTAATGGCAAAAGACGAAGCCCCAACACTCGCAACTCGGACAAGGCATGGCATCACAGACGGGAGGGCAGCAAAGTATTGTGGGGAAAGTTGACGTTCAGTGCAAATGATCTCTACCCTGAGTTCTGCCATGATTACTCTTGTTGCAAAATGATATCAAGCAAGCATACCAATGATGTTAAAATAAAGATACTCGGAATTCAGTATAGCATTATTCAAAAGTGCTTCACAGGAGGGGAAATTATGCCTGATATTGACCACTTTAATGCACTGTGAAAATTGGCGTCTCCATGACAGCCTCTTGGTGACGCATGTACTGCATTGTTAATTAATCACCCGTATTTACACAGATAGCAATGACTGCGACGGCAATGACGGAAATTGTTATGCAGCGTGATATGTGGCGAAGCTGAAAACTGCTCGATATGGTGACTGCTCAGTATGCTGACTCTCCACAATAACAACAGCCCAAGACGAGGAGGCATTCAAGCTGGCAAGTCAATCCGTGACGTCATACTTGGCGAGATTACTGATTTGTCTCAACGTGTTTTCCCAGCGCGATATATTTGTGATATCGCCCAGTGTTTCCACCATGCCACACGTATTCTCACTACACGCGAAGTGATTCATCGACGGTCGAGCGAGTGTCCAAAAATTAACTGCTCTATTTCATCTTTTTAATTGGCAAACCCTATGTTAAAATCGTGTTATCGCGCAGAATATCATTAATAACCCTTTTGACGTTTGCAATGCACTATGAGTTTGGATGACAAACAAGAAATGTATTTTGTGCACAACCCTATGGGGGAAGTGAATCAGTCAGAAATCAAATTACATTTTTCTACTACATGTAAATGTTTTTATGTATCTCCTCATCAACTCATCAAGTTTTCAAATGTTTTAAGAAGAAGAAATTACACTTACTTGTCTTTTTAAGGGCACCAGTCACTCCACAGGCTGAAAATGAACATGACTGGTCAATGCGGGATGAATGAGCTGCAAGTCGTGATTTTGATTGGACAATACCAGAGCATTAATATTCAAGATCTTGGTCTTGCCCCCCCCCAAACAGACTTTTAAGTTAAAACCTTTCTGCCGCTGTTGGTTTGCAAAATCTGTCGACCCTTTCCAAACCCGCATTGAGTCGACAGATTTCGCGCATTGTGGTTGGCCAACGCTTTGCAAACTCTTAGAGGCGCACTGTTGTGAATCGCCCGTATTGACAGACAAGACACTTCCTTATCTGAAAACTTACATTTCACTCGTGACGAACCTTGGATAACTATGTAAATTAAACATTTAATCTGTAAGCGTCAGATGCCATTCCACAAAGTGGACTTAAGCTTACAACATGGGAAAATATGACTGTCCAAACTCTTTATCTGTTTATTTTTCCACTTCAAATGATGTTAGTATAACCACTGTCATAAGGTGTATGTGGTTGTGCAGTTGTGTGGTTCACTGTAATAAACCAACAATCTAACAAACCGAGATTTCAACCCTATACGTGTACACTACACTTTAAAGCTCTCCAATAAAGTCTGATTCTATGCCCAAATATTCATCCAAATTTACACCTTTAACCTCGCTAAATGCCCCAAGTACACTTGAATTGAACTCTTCAAGGTTTATATTTTATGATTTCTAACATTTTGGACCTAATACATACCGATTGTGTCGAGCGGGGGAAATTACACCTGTTTCTGGAAATTAACGTTAACCCTTTTCAACCATGACAAGAAAGTATAACATGCGCGGCCCTTGGCCTGAATCTTGTGACTGAATAAATGGGGCATCCTATAAAAACTATGATAATTACAAATCTGGCAGGTCAACGTTACATTCCCAGCCCCAATGAATCAGCTGGTAAGATGTTCATTTCCAAAACCTCATGTAACATCCTGACACAGCTTGAAAGCTCAGGCTTAGTTCTTGGCACAATCTACGAGGCACAGCTTGGTGATCGGTCGTCTCAGGTAGCTCTCCATTAGACGCTGCCCTCATGGTCTGGGTAGGTTTGGCTGATTCTTCCCAAAGGCCAACGACCGCGAGACACATTCTCATCAGCCACCAGGACCAGATTTCCAACTTGAAGATTTTGTTCCCGCTGGGTCCACTTCTGATGAAGTTGCAACAAAGGCAGGTAGGCCTACTCAAGCACCAAGCGTCTCCAAAACTGATCAGCCAAATACTGAACTTAACGCCAGCGTCGACGGCGATGCATCTTCCTTCTGGAACAAACCTGGAAGAAACCTAGGACTACCCACAACAGCAACAAATGATTCGGTGTCAGATGCTAACTGTAACCTGGACCAGAACTCAGCGGGGTCAGCGGCCTCGCACTGAGAATTGCCTCAACCTCTGCCATCAAGGTAAGCAAAATTTCATCGGCCATCACTTGCGTGCAGATCGTATCGTTCTCTCCCATACAACACCCCTATGTCTTGCTGCTGGAGGATTAAATCGCCTCTTTATAGCTTTCTGCAGTAGAGGGTCGCTGACCTTCTGCTGGTTCAGCTTGTAAAAACTCTCTCTCAGCTCTTGCTCTCCCCTGATGAAATTTGTCCCATTGTCACTCATTATTATCTATGGTTTGCCCCTTTTTAATCGTCAAAGTGCATTGATGAAAATATCAGTGTCGAGAGAATGAGCAACTTCAAGGTGGATAAATACGTGCAAACACACCTGTGTCGTTTAAACACAACAACATCCTTATTTCACGTAGATGGGCCCAAAATAGTCAACTCCCACTGATGTGGATCATCTGGTGTTACTCTAGCTGCTGCTAGGTCTGCCATGAACTGATGTCTCAGCGGAGCATTTCTCTTCTTGCACTCAAAGCAATTGCCAATGGTACGTCTGACAGTTGCACCACCTCTGATGACCCA